GGGGTGGGGAAGAGCAGGGGGTGGGGAAGAGCAGGGGGTGGGGAAGAACGGGGTGGGGGTGGAAGAACAAACAAAAAAAAATGTAATGAAATGCCATGAAGAAACATATTACTATGCGGAGTAATCAAAAAGTATATCAAGACAATAGAAATTAAGCTTTTAATACTATTAATTACGGTAAATGCAACAACTGGACAACAGAACTCATACTATGCAATTTATTGTTCCTAGGCAAAGAATTCATACTATTATTTCAGTGGATTTACTTTTACTGAATGCATACTTTACTTTGCATATCTCCTCTGTGATGGTTGCTACACAGCAGGAAAACAGACAAATAATCCTTGATAGAAGCAGAAAAACAACTGATAAAGGCCCCTCCCCGTTCCTAGCAAACTAAGATTAGAACAGAATTCCCTTGACAAGGTGTTCACCCAAAGCTAAAGGAAAATCACCATCTATAACGCTGAAGCAAGAGCAGCATTCTCATCAATCCCAGTACAAGAAAACAATTTTCAAGGTTCTGGCCACTAAATTAACCTAAAAAATTAGATACATAAAATTATATAAAAACTGTTGCCCTTCAAGATGAAAGAATTTTAAAATTTCAATACTACCTATGAATAAGACACCAATAAACACCACAACATCAAATACACTGGAAATAACCAAGTGGTAAGAGTGCTTGACACTTCACCACAAAAGACAGAAGACACACATCTCAGACCAACAAAAGCCGTGTGCTCTTCAGGAAGAACACACGCAGATCAGCCTTGGGGACCTGCCCGGCCGTGACTGTGATGCTCCTGAGCTCACGGGCTGGACGATGCTGACTAGGAAGAGACTGACTTTTGTACAGCACACATACTCACGGAGTTATGATTTGAGAGAGAGACATGTGAGGAGAACTCACCCTAAGTGAAGTCTCAGCTTCTCGATCCATGACTTCCACACTTAAGACATACTTGTTGGACAATAAAACAGGGTAAAACATGTTTTTAAAGTTTCCTCTATGTGTGCTGTGCTCACATTGTTTCTGCCCTCTCCTTCTCCGTCCTCCTCTCCCATCTACAAACTCCCTCTCAAGTTCTTTGTCTGACCACTTGGTATCAGATAGCCGTGTAGAAGCCTCATCCCTGAAGAATCTGGATTCTCCCTCTCTCGGCAGACACCATTTCAGTATTCTTTAAATGGCAGGAGAGAGACAAGATACAAGAAAATGTCCTGTGTCTTCCTCCT